CCCCAGGCCTGGGGCTTGAACTCAGGGCCTAGACTGTCCCTGAGCCTCTATGTGCTTAAGGTTAGTGCTCTACCCTTTGAGCCACAGCACCATGTCCAGCTTTTTCCTGTTTCTGTGGTTCTGAGCAATCAAACCCAGGGCTTCATGCATGCTAGGCAAGCACTCTACCACTAAGCCACCTTCCCAGCCAGATCTCAGCCTGCTGGGTAGCTAGGATTATAGGTGAGAGCCACTGGTGCCTGGCAGGATGTAATTCATATTTCTTATGTATTGGCTGCTGGGATTTTCTGGGGCCCCTCTCCACTTTCCTATAGAATTGGGGGGTGTCCTGTCCTTACAGAGGTGTGCCTCAAGGACCCCATGTCTGTGGCGGACAGCCTGTACAATCTCCAGCTGGTACAGGACTTCTGTGCCTCCCGCCTTCCTCGTGGCTGCCCACTGTCCCTGGAGGACCTGCTCTACGTCCCACCTCCCCTCAAGGTAAGGCCCTCAGGGAAGCCTAGAGGAAACCAGACAGGCATCTAGGGCTGTGTGGCTTTTGGTTAATCCTCCACTTTGCCTCCAGGTCAACTTGGTGGTGCTGCTAGCTGAGATGTTTATGTGCTTTGAGGTGCTGAAACCCGACTTTGTGCAAGCCAAGGACCTGCCTGATGGTCATGGTGAGTTTGGGGCCACTGAGTCCAGTTGGGGGCTGAGGGGCTGAGCCCCACCCGACCCTCTTCTCTCTCTCTCTGGCAGCCACCTCCCCCAAGGCCACCGAAGCCTCTCCATCTCAGAACAACAGTGGGAGCAGGTACAATCTCTTCACAGCCCAGAGTTAGTTCCTGCCATGGTAGCAGCTTCTGGGTAGGACTGGGGAAACCTAGGGAGCTGCGGGAGGAAAGGGGGAGGTTATGGGATGTCCCACCATCAAAGACCATTTCTTGGCAGCTCTCCAGTATTCAACTTCCGCCATCCACTCCTGTCCCCTGGCGGCCCCCAGTCCCCACTCCGAGGATCCACAGGTGAGACCCTCACTCCAAGATGGACCCAGTTTAGCCAAGGTGCCAGTGGCTCATACTGTCATCTGAGTGACTCAGGAAGCCTGAGATCTGAGGATCCTGGTTTGAAGCCAGCCTGGGCAGGAAAATCCATGAGACTCTTTTATCTCCAATGAAACACACGCGCGCGCACACGCACACACACACACACGCACAGAGCTGGAAGTGGAATTGTGGCTTAGTGGTAGAGTAGCTAGTCTTGAGCAAAAGATAGTCCCTGAGTTCAAGCCCCAGGACCAGCACCAAAAAAAAAAACAAAATAAGACAGTCCTAGTTCATGTTAGTCTTTCTGGCACCCCCAAAGTGATCTCCAGATTAATTTTCCTGATGGCACCTTGGGACTTGATGATACTGAATGGCCCAAATCCCCATTTGTGGAAACATTTGCTGTGAGCCCATACATAATGATCCCTCTGATCCCACCCAGGACCCCCAGGACCCTATACTGACCCCCCACCCCCACCCCACTTCAGGCTCCCTGAAGTCTTCCCCGTCCATGTCGCACATGGAAGCCCTGGGCAAGGCCTGGAACCGTCAGCTCAGGTGAGCGCATGTGCAGGGCCCCGGCTGAGCAGCAGGCGGGCTTTGGGTGGGATAGAGCCCAAGCCCGTCCCCCAGGGGCTGACCCCTCCCTCTGGCCGCCCAGCCGTCCCCTCTCCCAGGCTGTGTCGTTCAGCACCCCCTTTGGCCTGGACAGCGACGTGGATGTGGTCATGGGAGACCCCGTCCTGCTCCGTTCCGTCAGCTCCGACAGTCTGGGCCCGCCGCGTCCTGTGCCCGCTCGGACCCCTGCCCAGCAAACCCCGGAACCTGGCGACCTGCCCACTATCGAGGAGGCCTTACAAATTATTCACAGTGCCGAGCCCCGCCTGCTCCCCGATGGGGCTGCTGATGGCAGCTTCTATCTCCACTCACCTGAGGGGCCCTCCAAACCACAGCTGGCCTCATCCTACCCGCCCGACAGGTCCTTGAAGACCCTGTCCGATGGGCCCCCCAAAGCGCCCGTCTATGTGTCCCACCCCGCGACCCCCTCCAAACCATCTCCAAGCCCCGCAGGGGAGCTAACGAAACCACCTGCCCCCTGTGAGGGGTCCCCCAAGGCGGTGGCTTCGTCCCCAGCAGCCACCAACTCGGAAGTCAAGATGACCAGTTTTGCCGAGCGCAAGAAGCAGCTGGTGAAAGCTGAGGCCGAGGCCGGAGTGGGGTCCCCCACGTCCACGCCGGCAGCCCCCGACGTCCTCAGCTCAGAGATGAGTGAGCTAGGAGCCCGGCTGGAGGAGAAACGCCGAGCCATCGAGGCCCAAAAGCGGCGCATCGAGGCCATCTTCGCCAAACACCGGCAGCGGTTGGGCAAGAGTGCCTTCCTGCAGGTGCAGCCACGAGAGGCCGGAGGGGAGGCCGAGGCCGAGGCGGAGGCTGAGGCCGAAGCCCAGTCTGGCTCAGCCCCTGGTGGGGAGCGGCCGGCGGGCGAGGGCCAGGGTGAACCGACCTCTCGGCCTAAGGCGGTGACCTTCTCTCCTGACCTGGGCCTGGTGCCCCCCGAGGGCCTGGGAGACTATAATCGCGCGGTCAGCAAGCTCAGTGCTGCCTTGAGCTCGCTGCAGCGGGACATGCAGAGGCTCACGGACCAGCAGCAGCGGCTTCTAGCCCCACCAGAGGCTCCTGGACCTGCCCCGCCCCCTGCTGCGTGGGTCATCCCTGGCCCCCCAACTGGGCCCAAAGCTGCCTCCCCCAGCCCCGCCAGGCGTGCCCCGGCTACCAGGCGCAGCCCGGGGCCTGGCCCCAGCCCGACACCCCGCAGCCCCAAACATGCACGGCCGGCAGAGCTACGGCTGGCACCCCTGACCCGAGTACTCACTCCACCCCATGATGTAGACAGCCTCCCCCACCTGCGCAAGTTCTCACCGAGCCAGGTGCCTGTACAGACACGTTCCTCCATCCTCCTGGCGGAGGGGACGCCTCCAGAGGAGCCTGCCCGACCTGGCCTCATTGAGATCCCCTTGGGAAGTCTGGGGGAGCCTCCTGCCGATGAAGAGGGAGATGGGAGCCCCCCAGGGGCTGAGGATTCCTTGGAGGAAGAGGCATCTTCAGAAGGCGAGCCCCGGGCTGGGCTTGGATTCTTCTATAAGGTGAGTCACCTGAGCAAGTGAGAGGACGGATGGTGAATAATGACTGGCTGGAAAGTGGAATGCCCCGGAAGGGGGTCAATGAGGATATGGAAAGATGGAGAAGGACTTTACTGATGGATGAATGGCTGGATAAAATGAGGGTAGGCAAATTGATGGATGGATTGTGTTTAAGGGTAGGTGGCTAGAATATTGAATAACTTGGGTAGATGGAAGGTGGGTGAATGAAAGATTGGTTGGGTACTTGGTTAGGTTGTTAGAGGGATGGAGGATGGGTAAGGTGGTGGGTGGTTGGATGGATGGATGATTGACTTTGTAGATAAGTAGATGGATGGATGGATGGATGATTGGTTGGGAGGGTAGGTGGATGGTAGATAAGTTGTATGGGTGGGTGGATGGATGGATGGATGGATGGGTGTGTGGATGGATGGATGGATGGATGGGTGTGTGGATGGATGGATGGGGTGGGTAAATGAATGGAGGATAAGTTGGATGGTAAATGAATGACGGGTAGGTTGGGTGGGGGGATAAATATAGATGGGTATGTGGGTAGATGGATGGATGGATTGGGTATAAGGATAGGTGGCTAGAAGGCTGAGTAAGTTGAGTGAGTGGATAGAAGTTGGATAGATGATAAGTAAGGAGGTAGTTGGATGGATGGATAATTGACAGGTTGGGTGGGTGGGTAGATGGATGGATGATGGATGGATGGGGTGGTAGATGAATGGATGATGGATAAGTTGGGTGGTAGGTGTAGGTGAACGATGGATAGGTTGGGTGGGTGGATGAATATGGATGGGTATGTGAGTAGGCAGATGGATGGATTGATTGGGCATAAGAATAGGTAGCTAGTAGGCTAAGTTGAGTGGGTGGATAGAAATTGGATGCACAGGTGATAGGTTGGTTGGATATATGGATAGGTTGCTAGATGGATGGATGATAGGTAAGGTGGTTGCTGAATGGATGGATGATTGGTAGGTTGGTGGGTGAGTGAATGGAAGATAAGTTGGTTCACTGGATGGATGGGGTGGGTAGATGATAGATAAATTAGGTGGTGGATGAATGATGGATAGGTTGGGTGGGTAGAGTGATACATGGAGGGGGATTGGTGAGTAGATAGGTTGGTTGACTTAGGCTAAGTGGCTTGATGAGTAGGTTGAGCGGATGGATGGATAGGTTGGTTGACTTAGGCTAAGTGGCTTGATGAGTAGGTTGAGCGGATGGATGGATAGGTTGGTTGGCTAGGTTGGAAGCATGGTGGATAGGTTGGCTAGATGGATGATGGATAGGTTGAGTGGATGAATTAGACAGGTAGGTTGCTTGGCTTAGGATGGATGGATGAGTGTTTGGTGGGTAGATGGATGGATGGACAGATAGGATAATTGGAGGTGGTGGATGGAAGAGGGCATAGATTAGGAGGTGGAAAGATGGATGGATTAAAGAGGGTAGGAGGGCAGGTGGAGAAGAGGTTGGTGGACAGATGGTGGTGATAGATGGATAGGAGTAATTGGCCAGGCAGGGCTAGGGTCTTCTGGTTTTCTTCTCCAAGTGTGGACCAACCAGTTCCCCTTCAGATGTTTGATCATTCTCTATCTTCATCATGTGGTCATCTCCTGACTGGTCTCCACCACTTCCCCCAACTCCTGGCCATTTTCCACTGAGCAGCAGGGATTTGGTCCATGGTTCTTGTTCTTAGGACCAAAGAAAGTCCTCATAGCTTTGAGCTCTGCTTGCCTCTAGCCTCATCATGTACCTTCTGCCTGTGTCCTAGCCAGATCAGTCATACACTTCTGCCTCATTTATTCTGGCCTCAGGGCCTTTGTACCTGCTATTAAGTAAGGCTTTCCTTTCTCTTCCTCAGTTAAATCCGTCATTCTCTAGGGGGGGATTCTGTCCCCCATGTAGGACTGACTGAAGTTTAGACTGGCATACCCCCTCTGCATCTCCCAGTGTTCATGGTCTGTGTACCGTGTTGGGTTAAGTGCTTTATGTGAGCAGTTTTCACATCTACCTCGGTGCCTAGTGTCAGCTTGTGCATTAAGTAGGCACCAGCTGAATACCCCAGGACCATTTACAAAGGTGAGGTGAATAGCTGGCGATTGGGTCAGTGGAGAAGGGGCTTCCTTGCCATAGCAGAGAAGTGATCAGCAAGATTCCATGTCTTTCCCCTCAGGATGAAGACAAGCCAGAGGACGAGATGGCCCAAAAGCGGGCCAGTCTGCTGGAGCGGCAGCAGCGGCGGGTGGAGGAGGCCCGGCGGCGCAAACAGTGGCAGGAGGCCGAGAAGGAGCAGCGGAGGGAGGAGGCTGCCAGGTGAGGCTGGGACTAGTTGGGGGGTGGGGTGGGGAGGGGCCTCGCTGCCTGCAGTAACCCCATGCTTGCTGCATGGCTCTGGTGTCTGCAGGTTGGCCCAGGAGGAGGCTCCAGGCCCAGCCCCTGCAGCCCCCACAGTAGCCCCAGCAACCACCCTGGCCCCTGCTGCCCGAGCCCCCGCTGAAGATGAGGTGGGCCCCCGTCGAGGGGACTTCACAAGGCTCGAGTATGAGCGCCGGGCCCAGCTAAAGCTGATGGATGATTTAGACAAGGTGCTGCGGCCCCGGGCCACGGGGACCGGGGGGCCGGGTCGGGGCGGGCGGAGGGCCCCCCGGCCACGCTCTGGTTGCTGTGATGACTCGGCCTTGGCACGAAGCCCAGCCCGCGGCCTGTTGGGTGAGGACCCTGTGGGGGGAGCCTGCCCAGCGCCCCTTCCCGGGCAGGCTGGGTGAGGCCCTGGGGGGAGGAGTACGTGGAGAGGAAAAGGGGGTGCTGTAGGGGTGCAGGGTGGGGGAAGGCCTGTGGATGGGAGGGCTTTCTGGGGTGGGGTGATGGGGCTTCCCTTTCTCTGGCTGAGCTATGAGGCCCCCTTGGTGGGGTGTCTGGAGGTGCAGAAGGCTGTGTGGGCTATTTATGGAGGTGAGGGAGCCTCCAGTGAGGCTGATCTTGTGCGGTCTCTTCCCAGGCTCAAGGCTCAGCAAGATCTACTCGCAGTCCACATTGTCCCTGTCCACCGTGGCCAACGAGACCCCCAATAACCTCGGTGTGAAGAGGCCGTCTCGGTGAGCTCCACCTGGCCAGGCAGGGGGCTCAGAGCCTATCTATTGGAGGATTGCACAAATCCTTGCCAACCGGGGGGGGGGGGGCTTGGGGGTGTGTGTACCTGTGTATGTGTACCTGTGTATGTGTACCTGTGTGCGCACATGGCGTTGTCCTTACCTTGGCCCACAAGCCTCCAGCTAGTACCCCTGTGCACTTAAGTGTACAGTGCAACTGTGGTGGCACAGTGCAACTGTGGTGGCAGTGTCACTTGTGGGGAGATCCCTCCTGGTCCCTCTCTATCACCTCTGACTGTGCCTCCCCCACCCCTTCCCCCTTGCAGGGCTCCATCCCCATCCGGCCTCATGTCCCCCAGCCGCCTGCCTGGCAACCGGGACCGGGACTGGGAGAATGGCAGCAATGCCTCGTCCCCGGCATCCGTGCCAGAGTACACAGGTGAGGAGGCTTTGCGGGTGAGGAGATGTGCTCTTGGGCTGCCCCGGGGCTCCCTGACCCCTGCTGACCCCCACCCTCTAGGTCCCAAGCTGTACAAAGAGCCCAGTGCCAAGTCCAACAAATTCATCATCCACAATGCCCTGTCACATTGCTGCCTGGCCGGCAAGGTGAATGAGCCACAGAAGAACCGCATTCTGGAGGTGAGCCTGCACCTGCGCAGTGTGTGTGTGTGTGTGTGTATGTGTGTTTAGTCCTGGCCCACTGATGGCCTTCGTCCCCCCGACTCAGGAAATCGAGAAGAGCAAAGCCAACCACTTCCTGATCCTCTTCCGGGACTCCAGCTGCCAGTTCCGGGCACTGTACACGCTCTCGGGCGAGACGGAGGAGCTGTCAAGGTTGGCGGGTTACGGGCCCCGCACGGTCACACCCGCCATGGTGGAAGGGATCTATAAGTACAACTCGGACCGCAAGCGCTTTACCCAGATCCCCGCCAAGACCATGTCCATGAGTGTGGACGCCTTCACCATCCAGGGACACCTCTGGCAGAGCAAAAAGCCCACCACACCCAAGAAGGGCGGGGGCACCCCCAAATAGCCCTGCCCTGGGCCGTGCTCTGGCTGCCGCCCTCCTGAAGGACAGTCAGTCTACTCCTGGGTCCTGTCTGTCTCCATCTATGTCTGGGTGGGGCTGGAGTCCCCACCCCCTAACTTTTGAGTCTAGTCCTGCTGTGGGGGGCTGAGCTGGGAGGTTTCAGGACTCAGGGCTCAGCTCAGTCCCCTTGTCTGTCCTCCCCACCTTCTTGAATAAAATAATTTAAAATCAAAGTCCAGCCTTGTCACCTCCCTCCAAGGCCTGCTAGCTTTCAGTCTCTGGTTCTTATCTGTAAGCAAGTCTAGTTTGTCTCCTCTGCCCCCTGGATGGCACCAGTGTGGCTTCTGCCAAGGTCAGTAGTGGCTTTCCTGCCCACATGCCCTCCCCGGGGTGCATCTCAGAACTGACCTCTCGGTACAGGCGCTGCTGCCCAGCTCTCCTCTCCCTGGGCCTCCAGCTCTACACACACACACATGCCCCCCCTTTCCCTCCCCCCCAGGCACACATTTCCCTCTGCGGCTGATATTGGTCTTTCCTGGCACTTGGTCTACAGCCAATTTCTAAACTGGATCTTTTCCCTGCAGCCTGTCTGCCTGCATTTCTAGGCTCAGTTACCGCCTCTGAGCTGGGGAGCCCAGTGTTTCCCTGCTCAGAGCCCCACAGCTAAGGATCCAGTTTCTACTGGGCGTCTCAGGTGGAGGGCCCAGGTGCTTCCTCCATCAACACAGCCCAATCCGTGTCGCCTGCCCCTGAGGCCCCACTCCCTCGGGTCCCATGACTGCCTTGTGGGCCCAAGCCAGTGGGGAGGGGGTAGGCAGGGCTCTCCTCATCTCCAGCTGCCTCCTGCCCACGTGACAGCCGGTTACCTGCTCAGAGCAAAAATCTGATTAAGTCCCCTGAAGCCTAAAGCCCCTTAATAGCTTAAAACCCTTTAATGGCTTCCCACAGAGAGGACCACACCCTCTTTGCCCTGTGGGTGAGGCCAGGCTCCTGGCACCAGGCCAGGGGTGCAAGTGCCTTGCTAATCAGCTTCCAGAGCCGGAAGGAGCCTGCCTGACTGTGCAGGGCTCCTTGCCTGGTGGAGCACAGCCTGGAATGGTTGGGTGGGCAGGGGCTGGTGACACCCCTGTAGCAGTGCCAGGAGCCACGTTCCCCCCCCCCCCCGGGCTTGGGGTCAGAGAGCCTTGCAGACGAGCTTGATACCAGGCCTGGGGTAGGGGCAGAGTGTATGGCTGCATGGCGCCCAGAACTGGATGTGTGGGGTAAAGGTGTCTGCCTGGCTTGCCACGGCTCGCCCCGCCTCCCGTGCCAGCCAATCCAGGCCCAGGGCCAGGACCTCTGAGCTGGCAACCCCTGGGGCACCTGGGCTGCAGGAAGGAGGCTGAGGCCATGACGTACAAACTACAAACATGGGCTGTATTACAGGGATGCAGGGAGAGGGGAGGAAGGGGGGGGTCAGTCGTCCTTCAGGCTCCCGAACACTGCAGCTGGCACGCTCTGCTGCTCCAGCCGGACCTCTGTGGGGAAGGCAGGCAAGGACGGTCATTCCCCTGGGCACCGCCCTGCCCCTGCCCCTGGCTACTGGCTGGCCACTGACCATTAGGCTCCAGGTCCATCTCGTCTTCGTCTTCATCTTCACCCAGCTGGATCTCCTCGGGGTTGACCTGCTGGGTCAGCTCCGCTAGCTCCTCTCGGGACGCGTCGCTCCTAGAGGCAGGGCGCCATACTGCTGTCAGCTGGGGGGCTCTCCACTGGCCTCCCCCGCTCCCCCTCTCACCTGGCTCCTTACCTCACAAAGAGGATCTTGTTCTGGGCCCGTGAGGGCTGATCCCGCTCGGCCTCGGCTGCAAGCTGCTCAGCTCTCTGTTCTAGAAGCTTCATGTCATCCATGCCACTCTGTCCAGGGGCCAGGTCGGAGACTGGAGGAAAGGGGAGTTCAGATGCCAAGGGTGGCCCCCTCCAGACACATCAGCCACCACACACTGTACAGGCACGGAGGAGGGTGAGCTCACCAGTGCCCGTGGCACTGCCCGACACCTTGAGCATCTGAGAGGCCATGAAGTTGACCTGCGTGTTGTAGGTGGCCTGCACGCTGCGGCGGATCCGCAGCATTTCCCTGATGGTGTCCTCGTTGCCATGCCGCACCTCAAAGTCCTTCCACGTCTGCCAGAACGCCCCTGTGGTCTGTGTGTATGGGGGGGGGGTGAGACATGTACACGCATGTGTACGTGAGACACGAGAGGGGAAAGAGACGCATGCATGCATGCGCATGTGTGTGTGAGACACAGGTGCTCGCCTGCAGCCCCCCTGATGCCCATCCTGACCTCCTCAGCCCAAGGCTTACCCGGGGGTCGCAGATCTGGGAGCAGAAGCTGTAAATGGCCCGGGCACGGTCGATCTCGCCCAGCTTGCACTCCATGTCAGCGAAGCGCAGGCACATTTCCCGGGCGTGCTCATCGCACAGCACCTTGAGGTGTAGGGAAGGGACGGGGTTAGGAAGGGAACCCTAAGGTGCTGGCCACACTCTCATTGCCCCTCCTCCCCATCCCAGGCACCTCGATGGCTTTCTGGTAGATACTACGCGTGTGCGTGACGCCATAGATTTCCGCAGCCCGCTTGATGTAGATGTTGAACATGTCGTACTGCTGGGCAGGTTCCACGGCCCGCGTGGCACGGTCGTACACGGCCATGGCATGCCGGGCCAGGCCCCACTCCTCCTCTAGCTGTGCATACAGCAGGTACAGGGCTACCATGGCATAGAGATCAGTGGTGCCGCCTTGTGTCCCCAGGTCCCCCCAACCTCCCAGGGCAAGCCCTCCCAAGCCTCCTCACTCTTGGCGTATTTGGGGGGGCAGCCATCCAGTGCCTGCTCGAACAGGTCACGTGCCCGCTCCAGCTTGCGGCCCCCGTAGCGGGCGATGAACTTGGTCAGGTAGGTGCTCCAGATGTCCGACACATTGGGCCATTTGAACAGGGAGATGCCGCGCTCGTACGCCTGTCCCAAAGGAGCAGGGAATGTCTGCATCTGGTCTGTGTCCCTCAACAGACCCCAAGGATGCAAGAACAGGGGTGTACTGAGGCTCTAAGCACCTGGGTCTGGGTCTGGCACCTCCTAGGTGACACTGAGGTTAGAGGTGGTGGGTTCTCACCTTTGCAGACGTGACATGGTCGCAATGTCCTGAGAGCAGGGCAGAGGGGCTAGGGACACCTGTGCCACCCCCCCATCTGTGGGGTCTGCCTGTGGCATCTTCACAACCACAAGCCCAGCATTGGGATGGACCCCACCACAGAGACAGGAGCCCCCCCCCCCCCACCAACCTGTCACCTGAGCAGGGACCAATATAGTCCCATTGCACAAGGGGGCAGGATTCCGCACCTGCTTAGCACACCTGTATGCTGCGTTCTAGATGCCCAGTGCCCCAAACACAAGCACAGCTAGAAATGAGGTAACGTAGCTAAATCGAGGAGGGATTAGACTGCTGGTTTCAGGGGAAGGGATCAGAACTAGGGGCTGGAGCTCAGGCCTGTACTCCTAGCTACTCAGGAGGCTGATATCTGGAGGACCACAGTTCAAGGCTAATTTAGGCAGAAAAGTATGTGAAACACTATCTCAAACTAGCCAGCAAAACAACAACAAAAAGCAGGGTTGGAGGTGTAGCTCAAGTGATAAACTGCCAGTTAAGCAAGTCAAGTAAGAACGAAAAGCCATGGGTTCAAACTCAAGTACTGCCAAAATACAAAGATCAGGACACAGATGACTGTATGAACAAAGACATAGGGCAAGAGGCTTCTGTAAGCCACACAGAGAGAGCAGCCCTGGAAGGAACCAGCCCGGACTCATCTTGCTCTTTTTTTCTTGGTTGGTCATGGGGCTTGAACTCAGGGCCTGGTGCTGGCCTAAGCTTTTTTGCTCAAGGCTAGCACTCTATCGCTTTGAGCTATAGCTCCACTTCCAGTTTTCTGGTGGTTCATTGGAGATAAGAGTCTCACTGACTTTCCTGCCTGGGCTGGCTTTGAACCATGATCCTAATATCTCAGATTCCTGAGTAGCTAGGATTAGAGGCATGAGCGACTGGCGCCCAGCTTGAGGCAAGTTTTTTTCCGCCGCTTTTTGCTTGTGTTGGAGAGCAAAGTGGGGGGGGCTTGCATACCTTGAAGCTCTCCTCGAAGTACTTGTGCTCCTCCAGGAACATGGCATAGTTGATGACGATCTGTGGTGTGGCGATGCGCAGGTCCAGGATGCGGTCGTACACGGCCTTGGTGGACTGAGGAGGAAAGGGCCAGGTTAGGGCCAGGTCAGGGACTAACTGGCTGTGGGCACTGCTCCTCCCCACGCTCACCAGCTGACCTGGAAGGTGCCCAGACTCTCCTCCAGGTCGGCGAGCATTGACCACACTTTCAAAGACTTGTACACGCGGTTCTGCACAGGTTCTGAGCTGTCAAAGTACTCGGCTCGGCGGGCAGGCAGTGCTGTGGCCTTCTGCAGGGAAGAAAGTGAGGGGGGAAGAGGGCAGGGAGGTGTACAGGGGCTGCCCACATACCCCCCACAACCCCGGCCCCCTATCCCCGATTGATTTTTACCCGCAGCAGCCGCAAGGCCTGGTCATAATTCTCGTGCCGGAGCTCCAGTTCACCACACTGGCACCACACGCTGGCCAGGTCATCAACCTGCTTGAAATTCACCTTGGTGGCTTTCTCTAGGATCACTCGGGCCTGTGGGAGTGAGTGGGTGAGACTTTGCTGGCCTGTGAGGGAAAAATAACTGCTTTCACACACACACACACACACACACACACACACACACACACACACACTAGCACGGGGCTTACATCATCCAGCTGCCCGTTATCTTCATAAAACTTGGCGAAGGCGACCCACAATGTGTGGGGCTTGCCTGTGGCCTTGAAGGGGTCTACAGTCTGCACTGCCTCGGTGTACGTGTTGATGATCTGTGGGCAGGAGGATCGAGGTCAGGCTGGATGGCCAGGGCCTGGCAGTGTGGGTGAGGGCAGGGCTGGGGACCGCCACGCACCTCCCGGGGACGGCCCTGGTGCAGGGCCACGCGCTTGTGCCACTCGTGCACATGGTGTGGGTTCTGACGCAGCAGGACGCTGTTGAGCAGCAGGGGCCTCCGGCTGATGAGTTGCTCGAAGCGGGCCAGGCGCAGCTCCAGGTCCACGTCGTCTGAGAGCCGGGCAGGAGGGGGTCATGGCCCTGGCACAAGGCCACCTGTACCCCTACTGTCCCGTCCTACCAGGTTCTGGCCTAAGCCTAAAGGGTCTGCAATCCTGGGCACTCCAGAACTCTGCCACTATCCACCCTACCCAAGCACTCAGGCCTACCTAGCCATGGCCAGCCTGTGCCCATGCTCACCTTCCTCCTCCCGCCCCAGCTCTGAGGCCGTCTCCATCTTGGCAGCGATCATGCTTTCCTCAAACTGGGCATAGCTGTCAAACACTTGCGTGAAGTCCCGTACGGTCATCACTGTGCGGATGGCCTCCTCGTACACATCCCGGGCCTGCGGACACAGGGCGCAGTGAGAACAAGACGCCACCCCACCCACGGGCACCTCAAAAAGTGCCCTTGCCTAGTCTAACATAAGAGTGGAGTTTTCCTGAGGTACCTCTCCCCCTGCCCTCCAGCTCCTGCAAGTTCTGATCGGCAGGATGATGTCCTCCTACCCCTCCCTGCCCAGTTGATAAGGGGAGCCTCGGGGCCTCGTTGGTAAACTGAGGTCGCAGAGACACTTCACCTGACTGAATGCGTAAAGCACGAGGCACCCAGCAACAGTCCCATCTCCTTCCAGCCCATCCTGTGTGAATCCTGCCTCAGCTGGCCCTCGGAGACTCCAATGTTGTGCCTAACCACCCACCTCCTTGCCTGGCCCTTCTCCAGCTCATGTTCATGTTTCCTTGTACCCCGCCAAACAGAGCTGAGCCCCACCTCCCTGTCCCCTGGGTCCCCCCAACCCTGTTCTCCTACTGTATATATTTTTTTTGTTTGTTTTTTTTGTTGGTCATGGGGCTTGAATGCTGGGCCTGGGCACTATCTCTCAACCCTTCAGCTCAAGCCAAGTGCTCTACCACTTGAGCCACAGTGCCACTTCTGGTTTTGAGTGGTTTATTGGAGATAAGAGTCTCATGGAGTTTCTTGCCCGGGCTGGCTTTGAACCGTGATCCTCAGATTTCAGCCTCCTGAGTAGCAAGGATTACAGGCATGAGCCACTGATGCCTGGCTCTCCTACTGTACTGACCTGGCCCTCTCCCCTCTGCTCCCACCTTCTCTTAGGCCGCAGCAGCGGGGCCCAGCTGCTCTCCAGGGGCTCCCTGTCCCCGGATGCAAGCACGCCACCAGAGACAAGGCAGCTGCAGTTGCAAAAGCCCGGAGAAAAATATCTTGGTGTCAGATGCTTGCTTGGTGACCCTTGTCACGACGCCAGCCCCTCACAGGTGAAGAGTGGCCGTCACCCCCTCAATTTGCAAACAGGAAACACCCAAGTTGAGAGGGCTGAGACCAGAGCCAGACCTGAACCCCAGTCTGTTCCCCCTTTCCCTAAGGCACACTGGTCTAAAGGACTGGCAGGATGGTGGATGCCTGATTGGTTGGACATGGGCATGTGTACGCACATCACACATTTGCACCTGTCCCCTGCCCTGCACCCTCTCACCCGCCCCCCCCCAACCCCGCGCTGAGGCCTGGGGGACACACACCTTCTCAAAGTGGCCACTGCGAATGTAGTAGTCAGCCAGCGAGCACCAGAGCTTGCCCAGCTGGTCGGTGAAGCGGGTGAGGCCCCCGCGGATGATGGCATCCACATTGAGGGACTGCACCTTGTCTGGGTTCTGGGAGATGAGGTCGCACAGCTCATGCCACAGCTGCAGGACAACAGGGGACTCTCAGTCTCCGTCCCAGAGGGGGGACCACCCACTGCCCACTCACCCGCAGGCCCACCTGGTAGTTGGATTTGCCAGCCTTGGACACAAAGCGCTCATCATTCACCACGGTGGCCAGGCGCTGGGCGGCCTCGTCCAGCCTGTCACTCGACTTGAGGTACTCGATGTACTCCTCGGCACTCTCTGGACTCAGCTGCGAGTCAGTGGGGTACAGGGCCACACCTCCATCCGGATCCTGTGGCTCAGGGCCACTATCCACTATCCACCCACCAGTTCCTGGGCCAGCCATTCCGACCTGGCCCCAGCTTCCCGGTGGCCCAGCCTCAATCCTGACTGGTTCAGTCTTGCCCCCTTTTCTAGAAAAGCTTTGACCCCACTCGTCTAAGTCCAGTCCTGATGTGTCCAGTTTAGCCTCTGGTAGCCTAGTCTGCACTGTCTAGGACTTATTTCTGTCATAAGCGCCACCCCCACCCCCAAAACAGCACTGTGAAAAGGGTTTCACAAATTCTGAGTGTGTGCTCCCCGTGCTCACTGCTGGGAACTGTGGCTCTCACTACTACTACCATTTTAGTCTGCTTCATACACTCAGCCCTGTCTGCCCAGTTACATTAGATGTTCCTTCTGGGCAAGTGGCAACTGTGTGTGTGTGTGTGTGTGCTTGCGCACATGCACACATGTGCTCATCAGTCCTAGCACTTGAACTCAGGGTCTGGGTGCTGTCCCTGAGCTTCTATTGTTCAAGGCTAGCACTCTACCACTTGAGCCACAGCTATACTACCATCTCGTCCCAATGAGCCAGTGTCATTCCCAATGACTCAGGGAACTGGCCCACCTGGCAGACTCACCTTGAGGAAGCGCCGGTAGCCTCTCACGGCAGTCTCGGGCAGCGGGTGGGAGCGTAGGAAGCGCAGGTACAGGGGCCAAATGCGAGAGTGCTGGGTGATGGGCAGGGCCCTTAGGGCACGGTCAAAGGTGCGGCGGGTATGTGTGACGCGTCCCTGGTCCATAAGGAACTGGCAGTAATCCAGCCATAGACGGGGCATCTGGAAATGGGTGTGTGTGTGTGAAGGCGAGGCCTGAGCTGCGGGTGCGTTCCCTGCCTGGCCTGGACACACCCAGGACATAAATACAGCAACACCCAGAACTCCCAACTCCAGAACAGAATCCACTCTACTGACTCTAATTATCCATCCCAATTGTGCTGAGCTCAGGGGCCCCCTCCACTCTGCCCATTCTCCCACCTTGTGCATGAACACAAAGGCCCTCTCATGACAGTTGTTGACATCTTCATAGGCAGGATCAGTCACACAACGGTGTTTCACCTGTGCACGACGTGCCTTCAGGTAGCGGTACCAGAGTTTATAGCTGAGGAACAGGAAGAAGCAGACACTGATAGGTGATGGATCCCTAAAATCCTTTACTTAGCCCCAGGAGGCAACTATGGATAGGAAAAAGGACTGAAGAGGAGGGCTGACAGTCTCAGGAAAAGCGGGAAGGATTGGAATGTCAGGGAAGGTGTGAGACCAGTCAGAGCATGTGGGCTCAGATATGGATCGCCCGGGTGATCCAGGGGCACCCTGCCATCACTAGGAACCTAATATAGATTGGAGTATGAACAAGGAGGCGTAGGGGTTGATGGGACACTAGACCGTTCATACCTGCAGGGGAGCAGCTTGAGAGCCCGCTCATACAGCTGATTGAGCCGGGGTTTTGGGGCACCCTGTTTAAACTCAATGTAGCGGAGCCAGCATTTGACTGAAAACTGGTTTCTCATGATTTCCTCTTCGTAAGGAAGATCCTCTTCCTCCTGTCAGGGCCAGAGCCTGAATGTAGTCCCTTCCCATGACCCCCAAACTCCAGGCTCGTGTTAAGATCCTAGGCTCCACTGCCCACTGTTAGCCAGGTACCAGACGCTGCTTCTAAACTTTGCCCTTTACAATAAACCCACCTGCCATCCAACTTAGATATCAGACCTCTCAGTCATTTGGGCTGTAATGCAGATCACAAAACCACCATCTAGAAAATGAGCTTTGGCCTTCTAAAGCCCACTGTTCACTGCCTGGCCCACATCACCAGACTCCTAGACACAAGGGCCCTGGTCACAACACAGCTCATCTCAAACACCAAGCCACTGGCTGTCCTTCAGTCTTCCGGTACCAACTCATCTCCATTCCAGACCAGGCTATGAGATTTTTTTTTTTTTTGCCGGGCTTGGGGCTTTAACTTAGAGCCTAGGCACTGTCCCTGAGCCTCTCTGTGCTAGCACTCTACCACTTGAGTCAGAGCTTTTTTTCTGTTTATGTGGCACTGAGGAATTGAACCCAGGGCTTCATGCATACTAGGCAAGCACTCTACCACTGAGCCACCTTCCCAGCAACCCCCCCCCATGAGATCTTTATTTCAGTTCCAAACACCAAATTTGGGGTGTCTCGGGATCCCACTTGCCCAGTACATAGCTCAACTCTGCCCCAGGCCTTCATCTCCAAAGAAGCAGTATGGCCCTTAGTTCTGGACACCCAGATTTTGCTGAAAATGTCAGGCCTTTTAATCCCAGATCCCAAGTCTTCCGTTCTTCAGGAACTGGCCATCACTAGACAAGCGCCACATCATGAGATCTCTTCACCACACTTCGGGGTCACCAAGCCTTAACCCCAGAAACCTGAACGGTCTGAACGACTGCCCAGAACACCTGGGACTCGCCCCATAAGCCAGAATCCTACCAGTTCTTTGCCTATAGGCAAAGACCCCAGTCATGCCATTTACTTCCACCCCAATCCCATTTACGACCCCACCAGGGAATCCGGGTCTTTACCCACGACAGCAGATATTTCCTCGGGCTTCGAGGTATCTAAGTCTGGCACCAGATCCTTCCTCCTAGATAGGACATGTAGGCACATCCTCCCCCCCCCCCCCGGCCTTGGTAATCAGTTTTAGCTTAAAGCCACGGACTGCCAGGCTCAGACCCTCGGCTGAATCCAGATTTTAATCCCTCGGCGCGTAAGCCACCGCTGTATCCCGCTGCGGACTTACGAAGACAAGGTCCGGCCGCTCGGACCGCGAGAGTCGCGCCATCACCACCATTTTCCTGGTTCTCCAGACACAGGCAAAAGTCGCGCGCTAATGACGTCTCTCACTTAAGCCCCGACCCCTGAGAAACAGACTCGTTTCCTATTGGCTGCACCTTTCTTGACAGCTTTGACCGCGTTGTTGACTCTCCCCGCCCCCATCACCACCCACAGGCGTAGCTAAAGACCGGAAGCTGAGAAGAGACGCCTGAAGATGACGCAACCAAGGCGTCTTCGACCAATCAGCTTTTAAGAGTGGTTCCGGTGCAACACCAATGAAGCGCTGTCTTGTTTGAAGGTCGGCTTTGGGCGGAAGTAGCTTCGAGACCCTGAGATGCGAAGATGGGGGTGAAATTGGAGGTGTTTCGGGTCAGTGATCCCAGAAATAACTTAGATGACAGCTGTTCCTAGATCTGAGGATGAGGCCGTGGAAAGGGGTGCTTCAGAGAGCGGGGGACCCCCGTAGAGAAAGCACTCGAGATCTGGGAGGGACATTTACAGTTGGAAACCCGAAAGAGGAGCGCTAGACTGAAGGAGCTTGGAGGGCAGCTTCTGGGTTTGGGAAACCCATGAGGGATGGCGGGAGGAAGGACTTCACAGAGGGGTGAGCTGAAGGGGGGGGCGTCTAGAGGAAGGAGGGCTTGAGACCTTGGGGAAATCTCTAGCTTCATGGTGGGCAGGCGTGTGCCTCTGATGGGGAGTCTCATAGGCTTAGGGCTAGAGGGGCTTGGAGGTGCTCCTAGAATCTAATTCAGGGGTGTCTAAGGAGATCTCAGGGAAGGTGTCTTTGTAGGGGCTTTTGTTCTGCTGAGACTTGTGTATGTTTCTTTAAGAGGGAGACTTAGAGCTACCCAGCCTCCAACATTCTGAGGGCCAGGCTTTACGGTGTCAACCCCCTGTCATGATGGTGGTGGCACTTAGGGACAAGGGGATGTGTTTGTCCTCTAAGCTCTGTTCACCCACCCCTTGCCTTTGCAGATGGTACTGTACCTCACTTTCCCTGTGGCTATGTTCTGGGTCTCCAATCAGGCCGAGTGGTTTGAGGACTCTGTCATACTACGTAAGGTGGGCATAAAAAGAGTTTTCATTGGTTCATTCCAGAGGGCATGGGGCAATCATGCCGTTGGTGACCATTGTCTGCTTTCCATAAGCCAAGCCTGCCCTGGGTATGGGGGCCTCTGGCTATTCCTGATTCATGCCCCCATTTGTGACTTTTTTCCCCCATAGAGGGAGCTGTGGCCCCCTGAGAAGGAAAGCCAGGTAAGTAACCTAATTTTCCTTTCCTTGGAGACAGGGAGGGAACTGGGTTGCTATGGCCATGAGGGCTTTCAAATAAAAAAATCCCCTTCAGCCATCGGTAGGGAATTGAGAGTAGACAGGCAAATAACTTCCTTCTTGCTCTCCTGAAAGATGAAGCTGATCTCATTTATTCCTTGGTTGTAACTGACACAGGACTCCCAGTGTAAATACTAAACTCTGATGCCAGGGGCAGGGTAATGGGAGGTAGCCGTCCAGAACCTGAGGGTGTGCCCCCCTCCCCCACATCCCATCTAATCCTCTTCCTTAGCGTCAAGAGCTAGAAGGATTCAAGGATCGTTTACGGAAGCAGCGGGAAGAGAAACTCCTTCGTTCTGCCCAGCAGAGCTCCTGAGGCCTCCTTAAATCACCCCTCCCTCCCCCCCCCCCCGCCCCTGCCAAAATAACACATACTCAGTTCTTGGTTCCTGGTGTGCAAATGTTTTTATTGTTTGTTTTTCAGGGGCCCAGAGAGGCCCAGATCAGCTCGGGCCCTCAAGGGGCTTGTGTCTGGGGCTGGGGGCTGCTGTTCCTGCGGAAGCCAAGAGCAGCGGGGTCCTGAGGGGTGAGCAGGGGCTGAGGGCTGAGGGTCCCAGCTCGTTTCTGCATTCCATCCTGTGGATCAAAGGAAGAGTCAGCCAGAGGGAGGCACTACAGGGAGTACAGGCCAGAGGTGGCAAAAGGGTTCAAGAGAGGGTATATGTGGGATCTGGGTCCGACCCTATGTTGTGTGACTGACTCCTCTGTCCTCACAAACATTTTCTCTTTCTTCCTTTTCCCTTTCTTCCTTCTTTCCTCCCTTCCCTTTCCTTCCTTCCCTCCCTTCCTTTTCTCTATCTCTCTTCCTCCTCCTCTCCCTTCCCCCCCCCCTCCGTTTCCTTCTTTTTATGGTTCCAGCACTGAAGCTTGAACTCTAGGCCTTGTGCTCTCACTTCGCTTTTTTTCATTCAAGGCTAGCTCTCTACCACTTGAGCCACAACTCTGCTTTGGCTTTTTTGGTGGTTAATTGGAACTAAGAGTCTCACAGACTTTTTCTACCCCGACTGACTTTGAATATCAATCCTCTAGCCTGGGAGTAGCCAGGATCATAGGTGCGAGCACTGGACACCTGGCAATAGGATATTTTCTGGGTGTACCTTTATTTGACATGTAGGATGATTTTGGGTGTGCAGTGGTGGGTTTCAGACTCTCCCTGGGGGGCTCAATCAGAACCCAGGAAGGGGCCTGTTTTCTCCTTTTAGCCTCCCTGAACCCTTCAGATGTGAGAGCAAGAACTACAAGTTCCAACCACAGCTCTGACTCCAGCATGGCCCCTGTATGACCTTGAGCCTCTCCCAGCCCTGTCAGCACCTAAGTCTTCCCATCTGAATTCAGGGCAGATGATGCACAGATGGAGAGGTAAGGCCCTATTCCTTCCTGGTCAGGGTTGGGGAGCAGCGTTAGAGAGGGCAGCCTGGCAGATGGCTAAACATCACCTACCTTGGGGCCAATGGGCTGGAAGCCAGGCAGGGCATTGATGGTCACGCGCTGGTCATCCATCCGGCGGCCCTGGGTGCTGGCCAGTATGTCTATGAGACTGTCCATCTCAGGCGCGGAGCCACCCTCTGTGTGAAACAGAAACACATGATTGTGAATACACACATAAGACTCCGGAGGATCCCACCCTATCCCCACAGGCCTCTTTGAGCACCCCCAGTACTCTTGCCCCACTTGCCCGCCCTCCATGCCAAGGCTCACGGCTCTCAGGGGTCTGGCCGGGTCCAGTCTGTAGTGAACAGCGCTGCTCCTCCATCCGATCGCCCTGCACGTGGCTCAGCAGGTTGAAGAAGCCATCTTGATCTGGTGAGCCTGCCTGGAGACAGATACATTTGGTCCAGGTGGGGACATCACCCCTGCCCTCCAAGCCAGCTGGCTCCCGCCCCAACCCAGTGCTGCCTTTCTGTCTGGCTTGGCTCTCACCATGGTCCTTGTCAATCTGCTGCTCTGCAGAGCTGTTCTGAATGAGACACGCGGCTCCTTCTCAATCCTGACCCCCCCGCCCCCCGCCCCAGGGGCTGCAGCAAGCCCAGCCACTTCACGTGGTGCAGCCGCAAGGGAGAGGTTGCAGTGACAACCTCCCAAGGCCTAGGCTGGGACCAGGGGTGGCCCTAACTGGGGGTGACTTAGGACTGAAATATAAACTAGGTGACTAGGGCTAAGTTCCAGCACCTGCCATCTCCTGGGAGGGGGAGGGTGTAGCACCAAGAGCCCCTTACTCTGCCTTGAATAGAGGTGGGCACTCTGCCCCTCTGCCCATCCCCACCTCTCTACAATGGCAACTGGGTCAGAGGACCTTGGAGACTTGCTTGCTAATTAGGTGCCCTACAAATTAACTAGTCTTGTCAATCATGGGAGCTGGAGGAGGTGGGGGAGGAGTGCTGTGGGTCCCCTCTTACCTCGCCCAAGGACTCTGAGCCTCCTTCCTGTTCCTTCTCTTCCTGCTCCATGATGGCCCTGCCTGCACTCTGTCTACTCTTCTGGCCTCTATCCTGGTCCTGCACCAAAGAGAACCTTTTTAAATGCTAAGGTGGATGGGGGGATAGATACTCCCCCCCCAGTCCCAAATCCCCAGCTCATGCCCCATCTGCTCCCACGCAAGCTTAAGCCCCATCAAGATGATCCAGATAATTGTTTGGCCAGACCAATGCTGGGCCTGGGTGAGGGTCAGGAGCCGGACAGCATGGGTTTTGACATTGCTGGGGCCAGCCACAAGCATCTGGCCCCAAGGACTCTGGGATGGAGAAGGGGTGGGGGATGGAAGAAGTCAGACTGATGTTGGAGAAGACTGGCCAATGGGAGGGCGGAGCCTGCAGCCCATACTTGAGAATCAGTACCAGATGTTCCCACCCCACCAGCCTTTGCCCCACAAGCACCTGTGAGTTTTTCTTGCTAGGAAAGCAGTTGCTATCCACAAGGTGTCTCAGAGGAGGAAAGTAGAGTCTCTTCCTGCCCTCAGGTAATACTAGCAGGTCTAGCTCCAGCTCTGTCTCCTGGCCACCGTACCCTTCTCTGTCCCTGAGGTCTGCTTGCTCACCCCAAGCCAAACAAGAAAATCCCCTGTCTTCTGCCCATCTTGCTCTGGGAGCTCTGTTCTCTCTCCTAAGATAATTCTGGAAGCCAGTCCCTTCTCGCATAAACCCTGGCTACTGAGGCATCCCCATCCAGATCCCTCCAAGCTCTCTGAGCTTGGGTCCCAGAACAAAAGTATCCCAGAACGGAGCCTAAAGCAATGGAAATACGTTGTCACGTGGTTCTGAAGTCTGAAATCAAGGTGTCAAAAGGGCTGTTTCCTTCTTTGGTTTCAAGTTCCTCCATGTCCTCCATCTGGCTAGGGGCTGTCACAAGTCCTTGGTGTTCCTAGCCTCGAGCCTGGGAGATGGGACCCTGTGTCCCTGTCTCCGTGAGGCCTTTTGGTAAGGACACTGGTAATTTTGGAGGAGGGACAGTCCTTCAATGGTTTCCTCTCCCCTATTTGACACTATAATCCCTCTTCCTGCTCCCAATCTGGAGAGGCAGGTAGGGAATTCTCTATTTCCACTGCTCAACACCCTCCTTTGGGCTCAAAGCAAACCCAAATACTTTGAGGTACTGCAAATGGCCAAAATTTAGCTACAGTGCTGTGTGCCAGGGGCTTGCACCTGTAATCCTAACTACTCAGGAGGCTGTGTCTTGGAGGATTGAAGTTCAAAGCCAGCCTAGGGGAAAAAAGTCCTGGGGATTCCATCTTCAATTAGCAAAATGCTGAATTATAGGTGTGGCTCAAGTGGTAAAGCACCAGCATGAGTGAAAAAGCCCAGGGAGAGTTCAAGCTCCAGTGTATCAGCACACTCCCCTCCTTCTCCCAAGTCTGTCTTTTCTATCCTGGTGATCTCACTTCCTGCATGCCCTGCACCCTCACTTCTAACTACACAACTCACAATTCTCACTCCTCCCCCTTTTTTTTGTAGTACTGGGGTTTGAACTCAGTCCTTTGCAACTTGCTATGCAAGAACTTTGCCACTTGAGCAACACTCCCAGCTCTCCTTCCCTGCTTTAACAGGGGGTCATCGCAGGTGATTTACATTTCTCCAGATTTGTGGGTAGAATCCCAATGGGTTCTTTTCTGTGATCTTGAACTGGGAGACTTGCTGAGCCTCTCTTCCCTCCTCTGTATGGGGGTAATTATTATTATTATTATGGGGGTAATTATTATTATTATTATTATCATTTTTTGTCAGTCATGGGTCCTGAACTCTGGGCCTGGGCGCTGTCCCTCAGCTCTTGAGCTCAAGGCAAGCACTCTACCACTTGAGCCACAGCGCCACTTCCGGCTTTTTCTGCTTATGGAGTGCTGAGGAATCGAACTCAGGGCCTCATCATGCATGCAAGGCAAGCACTCTACCACTGAGCCACCTTCCCAGCCATGGGGGTAATTCTTGTCAGAATGTCTGGCAGGATTGAGAAAACTCATATCACACAACCATGTGCCTCATTAGTGCTCACACCTGTAATCCCAGCTATTCAGAAGGCTGAGATCTGAGCATCCTGGTTCGAACCCAGGCCGTGCAAGAAAGTCCCTGAGACCGGTTTCTCCAATTAACCAGTGAAAAGTCGGAAATGGAGTGGCTGAACGGTAGAGCACTACCCTTGAGAGTAAAAGCACAGGGACAGCACCTAGGCCCTGAATTCAAGTCCCAGTAGCTGCACAAATAAAACAAAAACCACCCATCACGCCAGGAGACCCGCCAGGCACTAGGAGCGCGTCCGTCCCTGCGCTGCACGCCACTGGCTGAGGCCTCCCTGCAAGAACTGGCCGAGAGGCGTGGCCAGGTGAGAAGAGGGCGTGGCCACGCGCAAGGGCGTGGCCCACGTGGATGACGCGAGGGCCACGCCCCCACCTTGGGCCAGACCCGGAAGCTGCGGCGGCGCTCCTTGGGGGAAGATGGCGCCCTCGGGGCTGAAGGCGGTGGTAGGGGAAAGTGAGTGCTTCCCCGGGGTGGGGTCCCCTGGGGTGAGGGTGGGGGTCAGAGATCCGGGAGCTCCGGATTCTGGGGAGTTCAGGACGGCGGGAAGTCGGAGTCCGGGCAGGGCGCCTGAGCACCTGATCTCCGAGAGGGCGGGCGGGGACTTGGTATCAGCTCGGCTCCGGCCCCAGCTGAGCAAAGTTGACCGGCTGGGCTCCAGGGTGTCCAGGGTTCAAGCCCAGAACCCTGGATCTTATCGGGTGCCTGCAGGAGAAAGGCATCACTGTATTTCCTCCACCCCATCGCATCCCCCGATTCTTGAGTTTCTGAGCAGAGCAAAGTTCGGGGCTGGACTCCCGGGGCCCCACGGTGCTCCGGTCAGCGGCCCCAGGCGGTGTGGCGCGCAGGTGGCCACCGGGGCCTTTGCTGGAAGCAACTCCCTCCTGCACCATCTTGAAGATTCCCCCCCCCCCACCATAGCGACCGACCCGAAGGCCCAGGTTTTGGGGGAGGGGGAGAGACGCCCCTCCCCTCACCCGGGGTTGTTCCGGCCTCGGCTGCTCCTTCCGCCCTGCTTGTCCAGATAACAGGGTAATTTGACAGTCTGACCAGTCCAGTGGCGAAGTTCTCCTGTCTCTTCTCCCTCCTCTTTCCTCTGGACAGAGAAGAGGCAGAGAAGATTGTAGTGCAGAACCCCACTTCAAAAAATGAGGCCCTCCCCCGTCTTACACTAGAACTAACAAATGATTCCAGTTTACAGATGAGAAAACTGTGGGTTGGAGATAGATGAGCAAGCAGGCTTCAGAGCTGGGAAGGAACCAAGGGACTCTCATTCTAGTATTTTGGGGTCTAATAGGTGTGTGTGTGTGTGTGTGTGTGCGCGCGCGCGTGTGTGTGCAGGATCTTGCTGACTGTCCCACAGTGGGAAACCTTGAGATCCTAGGAGGAGAGGCAGTTAAACCTGCCTAACTTTCCCTTCTTCCACTGATCAAGAACTTAGGCAAGTTGTCTCTTCTCTCAGAACCTCGGTTTCCCTGTCTGTACACTGGGGGTGATGTCAAGAGCTACACTCTCAGGAGTGTGGTTAGGAAGGAGTATAATGGAGTTAAGATGGGGATCCACAGCGCCCCCCCTCTCCCCCAGCATGCATGATGGGACCAGAGAGCCTTCATTTGATCCTTTTCCTCCTTCACTGTAGAAATTCTGAGTGGGGTCATTCGGAGCGTCAAAAAGGATTCAGAATGGAAGGTAGGGGAGAGGCAGAATACATGGGTCATCTTGGGGTCCCTGAATGTAGGACCCCTTCCATGAGTTCCATGTTGGTGCAAGGGTGGAGTTGGGTGAGTGGCTCCTGCGTACTCATGGAACTGAGTCCTGCCCACAATCTCTGCTATTCCTGTCCATTGATTGGTTCATACGTCCATCCCTCTGGACAGGTACTCATTATGGACCATCCAAGCATGCGCATCTTGTCATCTTGCTGTAAAATGTCGGACATCTTGGCTGAGGGCATCACCAGTGAGTAGATAGCCCCCTAACCCCTCTACTGTGCTCCTCAGATGAAACAATGTAGGATCCCCTCAAATTTTCATAACTATACAGTTCTCCACATAGATATATCCCAGGGTACGTGACCAGGTCAAGCCCCAAATGTACAGGCTGAACAAGGGGAGCCCACAGTACCCCATGAAGGACTCACTGACTGTATATACCTGTATGTATGTAGTAGGCCCAGGGTAGATTCAGAATGTGGGACCCCACCCCCACACACAATAGGTGACTCCAAAATTTCAGAATCCTGACTGTAGCTCTTAGATAGATCACTCCTAGATGTGTTTCTCCAGCTTAGGGACTTCACCCTTCTCTCCAAAACATCCAGTTCCCCAAATCTGGGAGTCCCCTTACATCACCAGGTGTACCCCTCCCTCTGTTGCTACTAGTTGTTGAAGACATTAACAAGCGACGAGAGCCCATTCCCAGCCTGGAGGCCATTTATCTGCTGAGCCCCACGGAGAAGGTGCCTGTCTCCATGAGTGTCTGTGTGTATATGTGTCTGTCTGTCTGTCCGTGGTGCATGCCTGTGCAGACTGGGCAGCATGTATGTGTGATATGTCTTGGACACGTTTACACATAGTGGGAGGTGGGCAGTGGCTGTGGGAAGGGGTGCCCAAGCACAGGATGGGGGGGGTGTTGAAGTGTAGAATCAGACACAGCAAACAATCTGTATTCCCCCCAACCCCCCAGTCGGTCCAGGCCTTGATTGCAGATTTCCGGGGGACTCCTACCTTCACCTACAAAGCAGCACATATCTTCTTCACTGACAGTGAGTGAGGAGAGTGTGGGGGTAGTGGGTAGGGTGTGTGTGTGTGTGTGTGTGTGTGTGTGTGTGTAATGGCTGTGTGTGTGTGTGTGTGTGTGTGTGTGTAATGGCTTTGACCTGATGGCCTTTTCTGGCCACTCTGCAGCCTGCCCCGAGCCCTTATTCAGTGAGTTGGGCCGCTCTC